ACTATATTACCCTCACATCTATCAGCTCTCCTACTAAGCCATCTTCACTATGTATTTCAGAGTAAAATTTTACTCTGTATAAAAGTAAAATTTTACACTCTGAAACTAAAAGTAAAATTTTACTCTGTAGAAAAGTAAAATTTTACTCTGAAAAACAAGTAAACTGTGAGACTTTGAAGCTAAAAGTAAAATTTTACTCTGTATAAAAGTAAAATTTTACTCTGGTTCTGTCAAATGAAAAAAACAGAGTAATAGAACCAGAGTAAAATTTTACTCTAGTTCTATCAAATGAAATTAGATCATTCACAACCACTGTTCTTCTGTTTCTTCACAATTACTTGCCTCTTTCGTATCACCTCTTTGGCTTCTCTGTTATCTATTACATATACACAATCCATATTGCTCACTCACGACACAAAAATTTATCAAAATCAAAAACAATTTTACAACAAAAAGTAGAGAGAACATAGTAACAACTCATCAATAGATCAATTTAAGAACTTAACAACACTATCCAAATGAAAAATCTCTCCCTCACACACACACACACACACACACACACACGCAAACACACACACATATATATGAAAAATCTGAAGAATTGTGTTCAAATATGAAAATTTTGAACAGTCGCGCGATTCGTCTCTATACTCTTTCACAATTCGAATTTTTGATCGACGAGGCTATCATCAACGGCAAGAACATGAACTTCATGAGAATTGGAAGGCGATACGTCGACATCGAAGCTTTCTCTGATCATCTCTGACGATCTCTTCCACTGCGAAACCTATGCGCCATTCAAAGAAAACTCTCTGCAACTGAGAGTGATTTAGGTATATTCACAGTTTTGGTTGAAATCACGAGAGCTTCGAACGAATCCAATTCAAACCCTAGGAATGGAAGAGAGAAGGAAAAAAGAGAATTTGTTTGTGCGTTTGCTTGGTTGAGGCTTCGATCATGTTCCACCGCCTAGAGGAAGACACCGGCGGTGGCGTATGAACCGCCGGAGAGTGATCGAAAAACTGAATCGGTGTAGGAGGAGATCGAAGAATGTTGAGAACCATAACAGAGAGCTCGTAAAAGAGCAGAGAATGTGGGGAGAGAGTGGGTGGAGAAGGTGAGGAAATTTAGTTGAGGGTATAATAGTCTAATAAAATATTTAAATAATAAATTTTGTCCTTTATGCAAAATTTTATAATTATGAGGGGGTTTAGAAAATATAATTTTTTTCTTAGTCCTTTTAATAATAAAAGAAAGGTAAATAGGGTTTATAGCTAAATTTCCCTTTTATTTTCTATTAGGCTAGTGGGTCGCCTTTCGCAAACAAGCTGATGAGCTGCCTTTCACAGGACAAGAAGCAAGCTGGTGAGCCAATCTTCAAACCCTAGATGTAGCTCAAGCTTCATCCGGGTCTAATCAGCTTGCCCAAAGTACGAGCTTGGACCAAGCAAAAGCCTAAAGAAATTAATTTGCCTAATTTTGAAGACTTTTTACATGTAGCTAATCAAGAGAGGGTAAGGCAAAATGTCTATCATGTTGCCTACTCTATTAGAGACTCAATTGTGTGTCGAGACTAAACAAAATATCTAAAATTTTTCAAATGTGTTTTATATTAAGGGCGATCCAAATAGTAAATAAAACCCAATAAACTACAATCACAATGAAAAATATCAAATATAATATATAAACTATAGAAAGAAACTCTTAAAATAAAATTCAAAAATATATGAAAAATAAGACCACCACAAAAGTGAGGAGTTTTAAATAACTGATCTTCTATTCTGATGCAGGAATTGTACACTAGAATTGGAGTTTGACATCTAAAAGAATAGACAACTCATTAGTCATTGCGATTAATTTTAAAAGAAAAAAAAGGTGAACATGGTGCATAATTTCGATGAACAGTTACGCGTGCAAAACCTAACAAAGACAAAGGAGACCAAGTCTACCATCTATCCCCCAAACAAAACGGCATTTACTCACTCACTTTCTCCCCCATGGAAAACTCCACTCTCCAAGGGAGGTTAGTTTCTCACTCATTTCCCACCCTCCATTTTCATTTACATCACCCCCAAAGATCCAAAATTAAAGGGTTTATTTACTCAATTGTGTGTCGACACTAAATAAAATATTTAAAATTTTTCAAATGTGTTTCATATTAAGGGTGATCCAAATAGTAAATAAAACCCAATAAATTACAATCACAATGAAAAATATCAAATATAATATATAAACTTTACAAAGAAACTCTTAAAATAAAATTCAAAAATATATGAAAAATAAGACCACCACAAAAGTGAGGAGTTTTAAATAACTGATCTTCTATTCTGATGCAGGAATTGTACACTAGAATTGGAGTTTGACATCTAAAAGAATAGACAACTCATTAGTCATTGCGATTAATTTTAAAAGAAAAAAAAGGTGAACATGGTGCATAATTTCGATGAACAGTTACGCGTGCAAAACCTAACAAAGACAAAGGAGACCAAGTCTACCATCTATCCCCCAAACAAAACGGCATTTACTCACTCACTTTCTCCCCCATGGAAAACTCCACTCTCCAAGGGAGGTTAGTTTCTCACTCATTTCCCACCCTCCATTTTCATTTACATCACCCCCAAAGATCCAAAATTAAAGGGTTTATTTTTGGAAAAAATCAATTTATAGTTAAAAATTGTATCAAAATAATTACTAATTTATTAATTACATAAACCTAACTGGTCCATCCGGCATTGCCAAAGCTTCCAACACTTGAAACTGTTGGCACTAATATCACCACCAAAAATACCACAGAATCTCAAATTGTTGGTTAATTAAATAACTTAATATATTCTAAATTAAGAGAAGTTATTTGATGTTTTGATAACATCATACGATCATGTCTACATCCAATAATGACTAGGTTTTAGTTTTAAAAAATAAAAATTATAGAGAAAAAATGACAACAGGATCATGCCCTGTTTGGTAATTCTTATTTAGCTTATTTAACGCATTTGTTACAACAACCAAAAAAAAAAAAAGGGTAAATTATACAAATAGTCTATGTAGTTTACACGATGTGTCAATTTGGTCCCTGTAGTTTCAAGTTGTTCGATTTTGCCCCTTAATTTAACGGATTGTGTCATTTTAGTCCAATAAATAACGGTTGTTTAGTTAATTTAACGGAAGTTCAAACAATGTGTCAATTTGGTCCCTATACTTTACACGATGTGTCAATTTGGTCAGTCTCAATTTCTCGATTTTGTCAGGGACTAAATTGACACATTGTGAAAAACACAAGGACCAAATTGACACATTGTTTGACTTTCCGTTAGATTAACTTAACAAACAAACAAACAAAAACAAAAATAAATATTCTTAAGTTACAAGTTGCATAATTTTTTTTAACTTATTTGAAACCTTTGAACACTTCCGGGTAAAAAAACTTTAGCTCTATTGTATCAACCAAGACCTTTAAGGGCATTTTGAATATTTGCAAAATAAAAAAGTTGTCATACCTTATTTAACTAATCAATTCATCATTTTTAACGGATTATCAAAAGTTATATCAAACAAATTTACAACTTATTTTAAGTTTCTTAAAACTATAATTTTAAAAAATATAATTATAAACTCCAACTTATAAGTGATGCCAAACAATCCTCCAAATCATTTTTGTTTAATTAAGGCAAAATACAATAGTATAGCAGAAATACTCTTTCGATGGTGTAAAGTGGGATCTGAATCATTTTTAGTACTTTCTTCATCCAACACTTGATCTAGGCCTTTAAATCATCTGCTAGATGATAATTGAATCCTTACAGTGTAAAGTGTGGTATGGGTTTGCTCTTCCTCTTGTGATTGGGTTGGATTTAGGTTTAGGTCACAGCCAGGTGATGATAACTTTAGTTGGAGTCATACTTTTGTTTCACTCTGCTTCGTCGTTACAACAAACTCAGCAGTTTTCTTGACTTTGTACACACCGATTCATTCTGTTCACTTTAATTCCAAAAATACCCTTTCATTTTTTTATCCAAAAAATTTCCTTTCATTAAAACAGCAAATTTAATTTCCATAAATGAAAAATTTACATACACAAAATTAAAATAAAATTATCAAAAATGTAAATGTCTTTTTTTATTTTTATAATTGGGTATCCAGATCAATTTTGCGTACCTCGACTAATTTTAAGATCTTCAAATCAACGACAAAGTAAACTTCTAATAAACTCTTGCGGTGACTCAAACTTATGACCTTACTGTTCAATCAACCCGTTGAGATTGTAAATATTAATTAATTGGGCACACACATGTGAAAATAATTAAGAATTATCAAATGAAAATATCTATGCGCAGCTTCCCTTGTAATAATGTGTTCATTATGACACTTTTCTATAGCTTTAGTATATATTTGTAGACTAACTTAAAAATTAAAAAAACTACATAAACATTGAAAATCCAAAAAATACATAGAAATATTTGAAGAATTTTTTAACATTTTACAACAAATATTTTATGTAAGTATATGCCCTAATATTATGTCTTAAAAACAATTATGGGTCATATTACTTTTTAAATATTGTAAATATAACATATATTATGACGTTTATTGTGCGAATTTACGAAAAAATTGAAAATTTAATGAAATTCGTATGTCATAAATGTTATTTTTCTCATATATATATATTTTTTTTTGAAAAAAAAAAAACAATAATTTTGAGAAGAAAAAGAAAGCGAAAGTAAAGGGTAATTTTGGAAATATAAAGCTAAGGTGGAAATAAATATAGATAACGGGTAAAGCCCTCGCATGTTACATGTCTCTCTTTACCCCTTCATGCACACTCTCTTTAATTAATTTTTATTTATTGCCTTTTTCCGTTTTAAGTAAAATTACTCCAAATAAAATCCAAACTCAAAATTTCATAATCTCCTTTAAATAAATAAATAAATAAATTATATATTCATTTTCATAAAAAAAAAAAATTTAAAAATTGTATATATCACTTGGTTGAGGAATGCTTGTCACCTACTCCTTATATTTTCCACTCTCTCTCTCTACTTCTCAACAATCACACACAAAACAGAGAGAGAGAGAGAGAGAAAAGCACAGCAGTTTCTGGGTTTGTTTTGTAATGGACAAACACAGGTGTAAGCTCTGTTTCAAGAGCTTTATCAATGGCAGAGCTTTAGGTGGACACATGAGATCTCACATGTTGAATCTCTATGTTCCACCAAAACCAGAACAACAATCACAACAACAACCCAATGAAATGGGTCAACTCGGTGAAGAGACTGAGTCCGCTTCATCGTCTTCGTCTTCTTCTTCATCATCTTCAGAAGAAGAGAATGACGAGAAAGCATTGTTGTCTTATGGGTTGAGAGAAAATCCAAAGAAGAGCATTCGCTTAGTAGATCCCGAGTTCTCTTTCGCAGTCGATGCTGCTGGGTCTGGTGGCTCTGTAATTCTTCAAGACAGAGAGAGCGAGACCGAGTCTTCGAAGAACCCAATTCGCCGCCGATCCAAACGAATTCGTAGATCAGGAATTCCACATCACCATCACAATCACCATTGTCAGGACCAAAAAACCCAGAAAGAGTCGCCAATGAAGAGGCCTAAATCAGGAAAACTGGGTTCGCCGGAGCAGCAGCAGCAGCTTCCTCCGCCGCCGTGTACGGCGGAGCCGGAGGCGGTGAGTTCAATCTCCGACACCACTCCAGAAGAAGACGTTGCGTACTGTTTGATAATGATGTCGAGAGACAAATGGATGAGAGACGAAGAACAAGAACCAGAACCAGAGTATGAAGATGATGATGATGATGAAACAGAGGAGTCTGATGAGATTGAGGTCGAACGCAAACAAAGCAAAGTTAATAAGATCTCTCGAGCCAAGTACAAATGCGAGACTTGTCACAAAGTGTTTCGATCTTATCAAGCACTTGGTGGGCACAGAGCGAGTCACAAAAAAGCTCGAGCTCACAACAATGGAGTTTTGAATCAAACCCATGAAGCATCATTGCAGGTTGTTGAAAATCGAAATGTGGGTGTTTCTGAAGAGAAAATCCATGAATGTCCTGTTTGTTATAGAGTTTTCTCATCTGGGCAAGCACTTGGTGGGCATAAGAGATCACATGTTACTGGTTCTTCAACTACTATTACTACTACTACTATTAATCATCCTCCGAAACAGCCGTTGAAATCTGTTGAAACCTTGATAGATCTTAATCTTCCTGCTCCGATTGATGACGATGAACTTAGCCAAATCGAGCTCTCTGCTGTTTCTGATGCTGAATTTGTCAACCAATTCAAGCATTGATTCGAAGGTAATTTTTTTGTTTTTTTTGATGTTTTGTTATGATGAGTATGAGATTATTAACATGAGTTTGTTTTTTTTTTTTAATTTTTGGCCAATTGGGTCAAATGGGTTTCTCTTATATTTTGACAATCTTGACTGTAATTGATTTCTTTTGAATTATGTTATGCCATTGTAACAGCTGATTTAGAAAATCCATTAATGGAGGAACCAGAGGAATTTATTTCATTGCCAAATCTACTGTAGACAAGGTGTAAAAATAAATAATCAAATTGACAATAGATAAGAAAATTAACATAGGGGTAATTTTGAAAAGAGAAAATTGAAACTTAACACTTCATCTTATAGTATGGCATACGAGTCTCTATATGAGGTATTACTCAAATCGTGCGCCTTTGGGACCCGTTTGTTTAGATAAACACTAACTATGGCTCTAGTTTGTTTTGGTTTTGGAGCTTTGGATTCGTAATCCGAAAGAACTATGATAGACTTTGACGAGGGGTACTAACAATTTGGAGTGAAAGATGATATTAACAAAGTAATTTGTTTAAATTAAGTTTTACCGGACGTGCATCCGAAAGAAGTCCGGCCGATAAACCGGTCAATTTTGAAATTTTTTTAAGGCATTTTTTTCAAACATTAATATTTAATATATTTGTATTTTTTATTAAGTAAAAATCATAGTTTAATTTGTTTTATTATTTCATAGTTTAATTTATTTTATTATTTTATATAAAAATAATTTAACAATTCTCATACTAACAACTATCATCAAAATAGACACAATTTTATTAATTCTTCCCCTAACAATTTTCTCACTATTAATTTTCCGCTATCAATCCTCTCATTTCACCTATGAAACCAAACGGGCCTTTGTCTGCATTGAAACTTACCTGATAAAGATTTTTGCTTTCTTGGAATCATTATAGTTATTGTCATCATCCACCAAGGCCTCGGTTGCCGACTCTCCTGTCTACGTGTCGACAACTTCTTGACCTTCCAACGCTAGGCAGACGCTAATCTCCATAATTTAAAAATTTAAATAAAAGAATATGAAAATAAAAAAATTCAATTTTTAAAAAATTTAATCCAAAAAATTCAAATCAAACACCCGGATTATTTTTACTGGTGTGTTGTGGGGGTGAGAAACTCAGCTTTGTGGTTAGTAGGTGCTCCTGAAATGAAACTATACAATTTTTTTCTGTTAATAAAAAAATGCATTCTTGAAACCAAGTTGATCTCAAGAGGGGTATTATTTTATTTGGAAAAAGTAATTAACTTCCCACCTGTCAACTACTGGCACTGTACAGTTGAAGTGTAGAAGCAGAAGCAGAAGCAGAAGCAGAATCAGAAGCAGAAGAAGCTATTCTCTCTTGCTCTGCTTCTGTTCCATCTCTTTTCTTTTTCTCTCTCATCTTGTCTCTCTTTTCAGCTCATGCCTGTGACTGTTTTATGATTAACTTCTTACAAATCTGATTCATATGAACAAGTCAAAAAAAATAAATTAAATTAAATTCTAAAAGTTAATTTATTTTTGGTTTTTGTTTTTTGAACTTTTCTCAAAAAAAAAAAATTAAAAATTTTTAGGATTGCCTCAAATTTAAAAAATAAAGAAATTTGATATAATTTTATAAAAAGTTTAGTAAAGACAAAAATGAGGCTCTTTAATTTATTTTTTTTAATTTTTTACTAAAATATTTGGTATAACTTATGCTTAAACTTAAATCCGATTGGTCAAAATTTTTGCACCTCAACAAGAGGTCGAGTAATGCTAGAGACCCTAAATATTCTACCAAAAGTTTTATCAAATGTCTCACATGGGTGTGGGACCCACACAATGTGGGTCCCATGTGGGTCCCACATCCATGTGAGACATTTAGTAAAATTTTTGATAGAATTTTTAGGACCTCTAGCATTTTTGTAAGAGGTCACTTATTTGAATCTTTCCACTTGTGTTTAAGTTTTATTCCTCATATATTAATTAGTTTTATTCCTTGTGAATTAATTAAGACATTTTCTTTCGCTTTGAGAGTTTCTTCTAAAAGTTTGTATTGTACTTTTTCATTGTTATGATTGTAATTCAGTAGATAGTTGTTTGGAAAGTTGGATTGGGATGGATTGGAGCTAAAATAATTACAAAAATACAAGATAGACTTTTTAATCTCAGACTAAAAGTTGTCACATTCAAATTATAATCATTTTATTTTTTATTTTATAGAAGTCAAAAAAATTAAAAAAGTCCATCCCAAATAAAAAATTTTAATCTTAAATTAAAATAGTTAAAAAGTTAAAAAATTAAAAAAGCCAACTCAGCCTCCGTTTGGCAAGAAAAAGCCCAAGTTTTTTTGGCTAAAATAGCCACAAAAAACAAAATAGGCTATTTTAGCCACAAAAAACAAAACATCAAATCCAACCCATAATCATTACAATCATCTCTCACAAAAAAAGCCAAAAAAGTCAAAAAGCCAAAAAGTCCTTCCCAAACCAGGCTAAAATAGCCAAGGCTAAAATAGCCAAAAAGCCAAAAAGCTAAAAAGTCAACCCACTTCCCAAACGGAGGCTCAAATCCTAAATGAAATTTTTTATTATAATATCTTATATGAATAAAGAGCAATGGTAGAGGGCCCAAATTCTGTGGCTCAAATGTGGCTCAAATGGCCAAAACGACGTCGTTTTGAGTACAAAACAACATCAAAATGGCCAAAACGACGTCGTTTTGGCCATTTGAGCCACATTTGAGCCACAGAATTAGGGCCCCCAAACATTTTTCATGAATAAAATCTTTTAAAAAAAATAGTTAAGTAAGTTAGAAAAAACTTGTTAGTGGTGAGAACCAAATTAATTATCAATTTTTAGCTTACTCGAAATTATAAAAATAAAAAAAATGAATAAATAAATAAATAAGAAGAATCTAACTCTCAAAAAAGAACTTAGCCAGGCATAGACTAGAGGAGAAAGAAATGAAAGAAAGAGAGAATAATTGTTTAGTGACAAAAATATCCCATGTGTCCATTGAAATTTCCCATTATCAATTCTCTGTGCACATCTGGAAAAGAAGACAAAGAGAAAGTGCAAAATCCCCTTCTTTTTTTCTTTTTTCTTTTTTCTTTTTTTCTGAGGGAATGGTTTTTTGTTTGATTTGGCATGACCTAAGTATCTGCCAAACGCAGGCCTAGTGGAAAATAATTGGCATAACTCCATTTTTTGTACCTTATTTTATATTTTATTTTAAAAAAATATGACTCACATAAAACTTTTATATAATAAAGTCTATCCTTAGAATAAATCTGAATAACATTTTTTTTTTTAATAAAATGCTGCATTTAGTGCTTTCTATCTAATCTTGTAATTTTAGAAAATTTTAGTTTGTCTATTCTGAAATAAAATTGTATGAGCATAAAATTCATTCTATGCATAATTTTTTTTATTTTTTACAATCATAGATGTTGTACAAGCACGAAATAATTTGTCTCGTATAATTTTGTTGATCAAATTAGCCCTCCTTCAAATGTCGTCGTCTAATTGCCTGAAAACACAAATGTGAGCTAGCCGACGGGTGTGCGCTAGAAACTCCTCCGATGCCTAAGTCAGCAAGTGGACAATAGACAACAAAATTTTGTGTATTTGAGAGTAAGAATTGCAATACATGAGATTAGGGTTTGGTTTGAGCTTTGTAGATTCCGCATGGGACAACCCTAATAGGGCTTTAACTCTCCAATGTAGAGTCCTCCTTGGAATCACATTCCCAAAAGATAATACTTATCGTTTAACACTCTCCTCACTGCAAGCCAAGTGAGATGGCACAAGTCTTTGCTCAACTTTTTGTCGTGCAACTGGATTACCTGTACTCTGTTCACCAATGGCTTCATCATGCAACACGTAGCACCGTGAAAGCTGACATTGCGTGGCACTCCTCCTAGCTCAGCTCTCCTCTCTGTTTGACTACTTTGCTTGATAGCTCGGCCATAGCGTTGACCGCCACTAGGAGTAGCTAGGTCCCAAAATATGGGCATTTACTAGTTCGATCAAACATCTTTGACCACCACTAGAAAGTACCTAGGTCCCGTAGCTAGATCCCATAACTAGGTCCCATTGCTAGGCCTCATAGCTAGGTCCAGAAATATGGGCATTTACTAGTTCGGTCAAACATCTTTGACCGCCACTACAACCTAGCTCGGCTCAATTTGGCTACACAAATTACCCTCTCAATTGCCCCTTAATTCCATCTACAATGCATGATTGAGATTACTCTGTTCAGCCAAGCTACTTTGATCCATCCAACCGAGCTCACCAAAATTGCTCAATCATAGATTTCTTTTAGTTGGACAATCTTGCCAATCCTACTTTGTCGAGCTGATTTTTCAAAGTTGGTCAAACCTACCAACCTATAGCTCGGCAAAGATTTCAAAAAGTTGGTCACACCTGCCAACTTTCTTTGGCCTAGATGTGTAAAAAGTTGGCCACACCTGCTAACCTTCTTCGGCCGAAATAACCATCTAGGTCAAAGAGTGCAAAAATGTGGTCACACCTGCCAACCTTTTTCGGCCGAGATAACCATCTCGATCAAAAAGTGCAAAAAATTGTTGGTCAAACCTGCCAACCTTCTTTGGCCGAGATAAACATCTCAGTCAAAGAGTGAAAAAAGTTATTAGTCAAACCTGCCAATCTTCTTTGGCCAAGATAACCATCTCGGTCAAAGAGTGTAAAAAGTTTATCACACCCGCCAACCTTATTCGACCGAGATAACCATCTCGGTCAAAGAGTGCAAAAAGTTATTGGTCAAACTTGCCAACCTACTTTGCCGAGCTGACCAGCTTGGCAAAGATTTTTCAAAGTTCAGACCGAAGTAGTTATCTCTGGGCCATTCTACCGCTGCTCGATTACCCTACTTAGGGAATTATATCTAGTATTATAATCACATAACAAAGTCTGAAAAACTTTTGATTTCTTTCATTGATACCGAACTAATAGGAAGAGAAAATTACAAATGCTAAAAAACTTGAAATAAAACAACTTCAGATTGGCCATATTTTATAGTCTTGGCATGATTCGACCGTTTGTGATTGCCTCCTGCTTTCTTCATTTTTTTTGTGAAGGGTCGCCATGGGTATTGTAGCTCAATTTGTATTTCTTGCCGACCGTATTAACTTTAGTCATGGCCTTCTTAACCGACATTGCTGTTGTGCCGGACCTTGCCTTAGCGCAGGCGACATCCTCTTCCACCCTTATGTGCTGATGCATCCTTTCTATCAAAGCTTCCATCAAAATAGACAGAGTCGTAGTCATTG